CTGTAGCAGGGATGCAAAAATGAGGACTCTGATCTCCCATATATCTGCTTCCGCATGGCATAATACTACATTTGTCTTCGCCCTCTATTGCCATTGGGACGATAATTTTCGATTGAATATCTGAGAGGATTGATAATTTCTTCATAGAATTTCCTTCGGATAGCTTTCATATCTGCGGTGACTTCAATATCCATCGCAAAGAATGGTTGGTCAACTTGAACCTAAGCCGCTGTAAAGGGCATATTTTACAGAGACTTTTTTCCATTACCTCTGAACTAGCCCAAATCATAGTAGAACACACAGGCGTGCCTGATGTGACTAAATATCAGACGAACCTCCTCGTGCTCTTTCTAATATCCTGTCCTGATAAATGCTTAGCTCTACTCCCACCTCAAGTCACATGAGATCATTCTCTAGTTAGTGCCCAGATTGATGCCAAAGCAAAGCATCTCCTGATTTGCCGTTCCATTGAACAATTTTTCGTTATACTTTCGATCTTATATAACGGAAGCTCTTCTCTCAAACTTCTTTAAGCACTCCGCCCCCAAAAGTGCTGCCCTTGTCTCTGAATGGATCATTTCTGAAATAGAGAGTTTTATACCCACAACCTACCCGCAATTCCAGCAAAAGACAAAACAACCAGTCCTGGTTCCCTCCTGAATGAGCTGCAGCCATAGATCAGCTTTTATCTTCCTCTCCTATCCGCATAAACTATCCCTTAATGTTACCCTCTACCTCGAGTGGCCCCCGGGTCATGTACAGGGTGAATCGTACAGTAAAATAAAATAAAAGTAAAAAGCTTATTAGCATTAGGAAGTAACTTCTCAGAATAAAAACGCGTCATTAAGAAGCATATTCATTTTGTCATTAATTTGCCAAATATGAGTATATTCTCTCTTCCTTCTCTCTCTCACTCTAACTCTCACTCTTACTCTCACTCTTACTCTCACTCTCTCCACGCACACACATTCACACACACACACACACACAAATATATATATATATATATATATATATATATATATCCTAATCTGGAATAAGAATTATTACAGTTTATTTTTATTTTTTAACTCTGAGAATTTCGAATGCATTCTAATGCATTTTCATTTTAAAATATCTTCGTAAATGCATATTCTGGCTGATTCCGTATATATATTTCCTTTGTCATTATTGTAGTTTTTAGTTTTAGCCAGACACAGACCCACACACACATACAGCCAACTGCTCCCCCTCTCCCTCTCTCCCTCTCTCTCTCTCTCTCTCTCTCTCTCTCTCTCTCTACATATATATATATGTATATAAGTTTTTAGATAGATAGATAATGAACAGACTTAGCTAGCTAGACTGACATATGAATGGAATAAGATAGATAATGAATAGAGTAATCTAGACAGATAAATATTCTTTTCATCCTTTGATTTCTACTTCTCTGATTTACTTTTCGATTCTACTCGAAATTTATTTGCCATTTTATATTCTTTTGCTCATGATTTCTTATTTCATTTTTTTTTAAATGTTTATTTCCTTCATTTTCATGTACGTTCAGATTCATGCAGGAAAGTCTTTGAGATGAAGTGTATCTATTTTTGATTTGCAATCGTATTTATCTATGCCGGCGTACGTACTTTTGTCTGACTACATTTCTGGACAATTAATATTCTTTTCGCAGGTTTAACTCTATAATGGTCATATTTGTCTTGCAAATGTATTTATGATGAGTTAAATCCTCTCTAGGTATTCATCCTACGTCTTAACATATATATAATTTAATCATTTTATAGTTCAATAATTTTTTTATCGTTAATCTCTTTATGTCGATAGTCAAAATTCGAGAAATTTCTTTTAGACAGAAGTAATCACCATTTGAATTCACATTTTAATATATATATATATATATATATATATATATATATATATATATATATATATATATAGCGTGATATTTGACAGTCAATTAACCTTATGGAAATTCATTGATCTTATTAAGTGCATCATGATAAATCGGGACTTGCAGCCATTTTGCATTCCCAGTTGTTATTCCTTTTCTTTGATATATAATTTATTAGTTGAAAATTCTGCCGATGTGGAAAGGCATTTGACATTAGTTCCCCCGAGATCTTAAATGAGACCTTTGGCTCTAAGAAGTTTTTATTTATGGAATGACGCTTTATTTGAAAATCATCAGCATCATGAACTCTTCAATCACGTTGAATTTAAATATCTGTAGAGTCCACAAAAGTCTTCAAATACCGACATTTAGATGCTCTTATTGGATATTTATTACAGCTAAAGACACAAGCAAAACACGGAAAGGTTTTTATGAGGTTAACCGATGTTGTCATTTAGGGCTACTGATATTCTTGGCTTTTATAATAGATATAAAAAGTTGTACACATTTTCTACATCTTTATTTCCTAATGACCTCCAAAAAAAGGCAAAGAAAAAAATTTCTTGAACAAAAAGATTTTTCTAGAAACATGTGAACTTCCTATCTGCTTTATACCGTTAAACACAGACAGAAAAGATTTGCTTTTATTAGCCTAACAACAAAACGTAAGAATTAAGTCAATTTACAAGTTCTACTGGTACCATCTAAAACAATATTAATTAATCTAACCAAAGCTCTAATCCACTGGGCCAAGTGTCTTTGAGGAAATAAAGGGTTTATTTCGAAATTCCAATCATCTGAAGAAGGCCAGAGCGTACAACGACTGATACGTCGTGAACATGGCAATACAGATGAGTAGAACACTCCGAACAATTTAAATAATATAATTTATTACAATACCTCATGTCAGAAATATAGACAGACAGAAAATGTTATGTGATGATAGAAAAAATACATTTGGCATATAATAGTCATATATTGTTTAGTCACTGCTGCATACGAACAGATAAAACGGTGAAAAGGTCTTGGTTACACACACTACACTTTTAGCAAAGAATCTACAAATGTTAACATAGGAACAGTTCAACCGAATGTCGCCACGAGATCGATACCAAGTATAATCGAGTCTTATTCTCGCTGGAGCGGAACGAGGAATCTCATGCGCGACCAAGTATCCATATTTTGTGAAGAGCACTTATGAAGAAAGAAAAACAGATGTCATACTTGGAATGCTAGCACGAGTTAATGATGCGAAAGTTCGAAAATGCTGGCTTTATTGTCGGGATTATTCAGAGCGTGCCACTTGTATGCTTACAATAGATTTGATTCGAACAGATTTGAGGTCAAATAATTGCGCTGACAAAGCCATTAAAACCTTTTTTTTTCTCTCGCATTGCTTGAATTGTTCGCTATTTTCTTGACACACAATTTGTATTTTCTATAACTTTCACTCTCTCTCTTTCTCTCTCTCTCTCTCTCTCACACACACGTACATACACACACGTACTGTCACGGGAAGGCACACAAATTCTTTAAATATCTTTACTCTTTTCTTTCTTTATCGTTTCATTTATCGACTTTCTTACATCGCTATATCTATCAAATTTTCCGTCAAATTATATATATATATATATATATATATATATATTGTAAAATAGATAATAGAACTATGTACATACATACAAACATATATATATATATATATACCGGGTGTAACAGTAAAATTGTCCAAATCGTGTAACGGCAAAATCGTCCATTTGTTAGATTACGTTCTGAAACGTTGTATCTTAGAAATGATTAAAGATATCTTACTGGAATTCTCTGAGGGCTTTATAACACTATTAGACTCTACTTTGAACAATAAAAATGTATAATTACACTCCAATCTTAACAGAAGAATTGTGATGAAATTGATCATAAAATCGCATGTTCATCATTAATTAATCATAGCTAAGGAGCGGAAGGTCATGAAGTATTGAAATATTTTGCAACTTATTCAAGATGATCTTCGCCCCCTCTAAAGCTTTTAATTTTCTATCCTGGTGTAACATGGTGCTTCACAGGATTCACGTACAATTCCATTTTCAAATCATTTTTCAATGCTCTTTCAAATGTCATACCTGAAACTACTCCCTTATGTACCAAAATGATAATCCCACTTCCTGTTGGTATTTCCTGATCAAGTTTTCTTTTCTACTGCTCTTATTCACCATTCTCTTGATCGTTCTTGAACGGACTTTGAAGATGAAAGCCATGAAAGTTGGTAACATTACTGTAGACGTGAATGATCTTTTTCCTCTCATTATTGCTCATTTAAAAAGACAGTGGGGCTGACACAAAACGATTTTAACCTGTTTTCTTTCTTACTGAATAACTCGAAGTTTTCAGTGATTCTTACGACAAATGGTGTTAAGATTACTATCTGAAAACCTGGTAAAAAGAAACTCAATTAGTTTAGTGTTTTTTTAGATATTAAACATTTTGTGGGCTGGACAATTATGTTGTTATACAGCTGGACAATTTTGCTGCTACACTCGGTTTATTTATTCATTACTTAAACGTTATTTCTAGTGGATACTCGTACTTGAGTAGACGTTCTGTTTATTTATTAAACCGTATAATTTATTTATTTTCATCTACTATTTAATATATAAACAGAGCGAACATAATCAATATTTTGATTGGTCTTATGAGTATCAGGATGTCAAAAGAATTGGCCATTCTCAAGACCCTCCGTTCCCTTTCTAAATTCAATTGCCCACTTTTGCAATGTTGATAAAGCTGGAGCGTCATTCCCTAATGTAACAATCATGGAAGCGTGAATGTCTTTGGAGGCTAAATGCTTTTTTCTGCAGGTACTTGATAAGATCTCAGTGCCAAATTTTGTCGCTACAAGTTACATTTGAAGTCATTTTTGAACAGGCGGATATCAGTTTAACTGGAAAGAAACGATGCAGTGATCAATAAGAAGAGATGAAAATAATGCATGCCATACTTCACAGCTCTGCCATCGATCTTTCATAGTAAGCCTGTAAACTTTTCTGAACGCGTTTGCAAATTCGATACAGAAAATTGGCGTTAATTATATACTGGAACTTCGTAGTTCCTCTAGTGTCTCTCTCTTTCTCTCTCTCTCTCTTTCTCTCTCTCTCCATCTATATATATATATATATATATATATATATATATTCCCTCTCTCTTTCTCTCTTTTTCTCTCTCTGCATCTCTCTATTTTTCTCTCTCTTTCTCTCTGCATCTCTCTCTTTATTTTTCTCTCTCTCTTTTTCTCTGTTCTTTCTGTCTCTTTTTCTCTCTCTTTTTCTCTCTCTCTCTTTCTCTCTCTCTATCTCTCTGTCTCCCTCTCTTTCTCTTTCGTTCGTCCTCTTTATCTTTCGTTCGTCCTCTATATCTTTCTCTCTCTTTCTCTCTCTCGTTCTCTCCCTCCCCCCCATGTCTTTCTCTTTCTTTTTTTCTCTATGTCTACCTCTCTCTCTCTCTCTCTCTTTCACGTTGGTTTCATCGATCGATCTGTTTAAAAGTTTGCTCCGTGGATGAAATAGTTTGGTATTATTCTTGTGGCCAGTTTAAAACTAGAATTCTCTTATGGAGTAAGGCGGTCTTAAGTAAGGCGGTCCTTCGAAATTAGAATACGGCTTTAACACAATTTTCATTTTCTTAGAATTCTCTATATCGACTTATTTATGATTTGGTTGGTTGATTTTATTTAGTGGCATATAAACCTCTATGGGTTATTTAATGCCATAAATCTAAATATTTTGAACACAATTTTATGCCTTCACCTACAGATAAAATATATTGTTGGTAATTCTACTATGAAGATTTACTATTGGTATTTTTAACATCTGAGATGAGGTATTATTATGTATCATTTACATTTCGAACCGAACCTTTTATTTCGCCAACCGGGGTAGATTTTATTTCGCCAACCGGGGTAGATTGTTCTAGTTCCACGTGCCATGCCTATTCCGGATGTCTCTTTCATTTCTCGTTAACTCAACTGTCCAAGTTTTGGTTTTGCTGTAGCCTGGTACTGAACCCATAAATCTTTAGGTCTAGTTTTTTATCTACTGGGTCATGTTTCCTTGAAGACACATCTTTGTACGAACTTGGGGGACTCATAAACCTCATGTCTCAGCAACTAATGTTTCACCAGTGCCGATACTGCAATATTTTCTTTTATTTTTTAGCATTTCTTACCTGAGCTTATATTGCAATTTTTGTTGTTAATCATTGCTTTTCTCTGGCACTACTTATTACTGCTTCCCATATTGTATTCATTTCTATGCTTGGTCAGCTCAGGAGATTTTTGTGACCTAGCATATGTGCTGATTCCTTAAGTTATCGTATTTTCCAGTGATGCTCTCTGTCTATTATTTCAACCTCATCCCACAGGACGCAGTGATATCCTTTTTGGTATTTTTACTTTAAAAATGTATTTTTTATACTTTCATAGTGTTTTGTTTTTGTTAGGTGGGGTCATTATTTGTCAATTGCTGGGATCCTAACAGGTGCTACCACCCTTGATCAGATTGGACCTAAGAACAACAACAATTGAAGGAGTTCTACAATCCTCAAAACCACCAACCTCCCTATCAGAGGCCATGCTGCCGGGTGTAGTTTATCGATCTATTTATAATCTCTCCAAAACCTGCAAGAATTATCTAATTATGTAGGTGTATTTCATTCTCTTTAGGGTGGCATTCGCAGAGACAGTTTACTAGCGAAGGGCCTCTGTGCTCATTTGGTACCTCACCATTCAAGCTCTCTGGCAAAACTCAGAATGGGTTTTAATTGTAACTTTCGAACTGCATAGCTGTTTGAAACCTCTAAACGCATTTTAGTCCCTTGCTTTCTCTCTGCCATTTTTCCAAAAAGTTCCAAAATATATTCGTTTATTTAATAAGTCCACATGCTCAAATGAAATACTGAAAATGTTAGCATCGATTTAGCAATGAAATTACAAGCTATTTGATTCCTTAACAAATTAATCAACACATGTTTTCTCTTTTCGAATAGACGTACTCTTTATTTACACTATTTATATTGTTCGAACTGTTGTCCTCATCCGTTGTACGCACCAGACTTCTTCAGGTGAAGATGACGTTGAAAATTTCAACCTTATTTAGTTCACTGCGGTAGATTATTCTAGTTTCACATGGCATGACTTTTCTGGGTATATAAATAATGTGTTTGAGTCGAAATACCAACGTCTATCAAAGTCTCAAATTCGTGTTCATATGGAATTGTATCAACGTAAACAAACTTAATCCGATTAAGTCCAAAAGGGCGAAACGCGTCACACGTATATTTCCCCAAATTTTTTTTTATATATAAAAATGTATATATCTTTATCCGATATATATATATATATATATATATATATATATATATATGCACGTATTTATCGTTGCTTAGAAATCATCTAAGTAAACAATGACAGACTATTATCACTGTCGTATCCGTATATTGCTTTATATGTTGTAATTCACACCTTTGATAATGGCTTATGTAAGCTGAAAGTTTAGATTGTATTAAAAAAATATGGATCAATATTGTGAATTTCTTTCTTCGTTCAACGATAATGTTATTAAACTTATCAGACGTTACGAAAAAAATTTACATAAAATAAATAGACAACACTTGTCTATATTATTTAATGAAACGTGCATGAATGAAAAATGCTGCCTAAATACACAATATATATATATATATATATATATATATATATATATGCAATGCTCTTCTATGAATTGAGCCCTCTTGGTCATTGGCGTATTTATTCGAAGAATAAGTACGTAAAAATCCACCTTCCTCTCTACCGGGCGCTGATGGTAAAATCTCCGACTGACGTCAAATCAGTCGGGTTACGATCCCGGCTTGAGGTGATCGGATGTCTAGTCACACTGATGAGTTGTGATACAGCAAAACAGTCTATCTGTGGATGTCAATATATATATATATATATATATATATATATATATATATATATATATATATATATATTAGGTACCTCCACTTTTTCGATGAAAAACAGCATGGCATGATGAAAAATGTCCCAAACTTAATACAAAACAAAGTTTTATCGTCAAAATTTTGTCTTTTTTACTTCGGCAGTTTACGCCATATTTACGATTCGTGTTTTATTGCCTTTTTCAGGTTAAAAACAAATTGATTCCGAAATTCTTGCAAAAATCAAATAAGTGTCGTATTTTGATGAAACTTTCAGGACTCATTCACAAATTTTTTAAATTTCTTTTGAGAAAATATTAGTATTTTTTTTACATATGATTGAATTAGAAAAGCATTTAATTGCTTTTATAAATAAGATTTATTATGTAAATTTATGTAAATTCTGGTCAAACATACTTAGCTTTTCAACACGTTACGCTGTTAATAAATTAATCAGCACATCAAAAATCAAGATCCCTTGGTTAAGAAATGTATACTACGTTTTATGTTATAAGTAATATTTGTTTCAAATAAGTTTAATTTAAATTTACATCTACTAATTTTCATCAATTAACGTGTCACAAATATATTTTTTATTTTTAGAAGATTTTTAAAACCGAGAATTACCTTTTGTTCCACATGTGCCAAAATGTGCCAAAAAGGCCGATTTTAAACGATTTGAAAGTTGAGATTCCAACCAATATAATTTCTATTTGAAATACACCAGAGTATTTTACTTACTGGAAAAAGTAAATTTAATTTTTTAACTTACAATTAAAGCTAAAAAGAAAGCTACAAGAATGCCTTTTAATTTTCAAAAATTCATTTTAAACCTTAGTTACCTAATATATATATATATATATAAGATATTCCTAAGGAGCCAGGCAAACCTACCTAGGTTTCCCCTTAAACGGATCTTCAGTATTACCCTGACGATCTGTTTAGGATTATATTTCATATTTATATATATATATATATATATATATATATATATATATATATATATATATATATATATATATATATATATATATATATATATATATATTGGTAACTAAGGATTAGGTTTTGCTCTACTTTTGAACTTGGAGCTTAAACACTGGACGATTTTTTTCGCCTGGGTTTAATGTTCTTGGTTCTTTCTTTTTTTATTCCGCATTTTCCTTGGGTACGGATTTGTTCTACTGCAAGTTCAGCTCTCCGAGGTTTTCCAAACGTGTTCTACCATTTATATATATATATATATATATATATATATATATATATATATATATATATATATATATATATATATCTGCCATTATCTAAATATCCTCCTATATACCTATATATCTAACAATAAACATATATGGTCACTCATTCACTTATTTAAACACAATTATTTTACGAATTCTTTCCATTCTTTCCAACTTACTAACAAACCACATTTTATTTATTTTTAAATACATTTTTATGTGTTTACTTATAGTGTTACTGATGAAATTCTTTTATTTGTTGTCACCTTTTATAGTTCTGCCCATGTATGTTGCGTGTGCATGTGTGATTAATATCGATTCCTTTTACCCTTTCCTTCTCCCATAGTAATACTTTTTCCTCTCTCTCTCTCTCTCTCTCTCTCTCTCTCTCTCTCTCTCTCTCTCTCTCTCTCTCTCTCATAACCTTGATACGCAACTCGTGCGTGCACTGTAGATGCAACGAGGAGAAAAGTGGGAGAAGACAAGCGCTGAAAATCCGCCTCATGGATACTGACCTTTACTTTGTGACTAATATCGACCATTGATGACTCATGCGTATTTGCGCTACCAAACAACCTCAGATAGACTGACGAAAGCCAAGCTGTTTATTTAACCTTTTAAGTATTAATCCGGTTTTAAGTGAAAAAGTGAGGAGAATTTTTTTTTTTTCTCTTTTTACGTAATTTATTTAATTTTATTTTATTTTCTGTAATCAGTTTTGTTAAATTGATTTCTTAAGACATAATAAAAGATGGAAGCTTTTAAATATCAGGTTGCATTCTGGATTTCAGAAAGAAAAGAAATCACAAGTAGCAAGTCGTAAACAAAGAAGATGCGTGGGTAGAATTGCTCAAACAATGTGTGTTCGTAAGAAACTTCGCCTCCATTAATTGGGACGGCGACAGCAAATGATATCAACACATCACTTCATTGGCATGGATTCAGCTTAATGCCAAATGAGCAGTGAATTAATCTTTTGAATTTTAAATCGTTTCTCGAATTCATTTATATATTCTTATCAGATTGTATCCGTAGAGGAAACGCGCTGATAGGAAGGGCTTACTGCCACATGTGGTTGGCAAATTACAATTGTTTATGAAAATATGTAAGTTTTTAAGATAATAAACTCTTTAGCTATTTCGACGTGGTGTAATGGTTAACAAGCTTGTCTCGCTAGATCTATTACGACTGACTGAGTGCCCTATACTTTTCGGCCTTGTGCCACATCTATGCTACGCTTAGAAAAATCACCATATAACTTTTTTTAAAAGGGGTACCGTCAAAAGAAACTGGTCATTTTTTTTTAATTGGGAATGATAAATTTGTACTGCACTATATGAAATTATTTGGATTTTATTATACTACACATTAACATAGTCATGTTAATGTTATTACAAACTGATTATTTCTTTATCTGCGGCAAATAACGGAAGTCTTTGACTTATGCGATGTTTTTATTCTAATTTCTTTTACAATTCACATTGATTCCGTAAAATGAACAATTTATAAAAAATTTATATCCTTTTATTATCCTTTATAAAATATTTGATTTAATTTTTTAAAAAGATATTAAAATGTTCAAATTCATAATCTGGAATGCGTAATCAATATTAATCTATGAAAAAAGATCAGCAGATTATTATTTTTGTTTTTTGGGGTTTTTTTTTTTTTTGCGTATGAAAAGTTTACTTTTATATTAGTTTTACCTTCTTTTATGTGACTATTACCTTTATATTTGGTTTCTATTAGTTTTTTCCTTATTTTAAATTAGTTTTACCTTTATATTAGTTTCTGCCTATATTTCTGAAATGTGGTATCATGTACATTATTTACATTATTTGAACTATTGTCCTCATCTTTTTCGCCATATATATTACAACGTTTCGGCCGTTGTACGCTCAGGTCTCAGGTCCCATTATTTCGCTTACTGGGGTAGACTGTTCTAGTTCTACGTACCATGTTTAATGGATGTTAGTTATCAGTTATCTCCTGTTAATTTCCCTCTGAAAGTTCTCCACTTTCTTAACCGCTTATTGAACTCACACTCTTTGGGTCCTGGATCTAACTAACACCTTTATCCACTGTGCCATGTTTTATATTAGTTTAACATTCTTTTATATTATTTTTGCCTTTATATTAGAGTCATATTAGTTTTAGCTTCTTTTATATTACTTTTACCTTTATATTAGGTTTATATTAGTTTTACTTTTATACCAGTTTTATATTAGTTTAAACTTATTTTAAATTATTTTTACCTTTACATTACTTTTATATTAGCTTTACCTTCTGTCAGATTAGTACTGTCTTTACATTACCTTTATATTAGTTTTATCTTCTTTTTTATCGGCCGTTATACGCTCCGGCCTTCTTCAGTTGGTTAGAATATCGAAGTGAACCATTTATTTCGCTCACTGTTCTAGTTCCATGTTTAATGGATGTCAATTATCAGTTATCCCCTGTTAATTTCCCTCTGAAAGTTCTCCACTGCCTTAACCGGGTACTGAACTTATACTCTTTGGGTTCTCATCTTTCTCCTGTCACTGGATCTAACCAACGCCTTTATCCACTGTGCCATGTGTTATTGAGGACATCAGTGCATGAATTTCTGGGTATTATAAACCTAATGTCTCAGCAACCACTTTAACCAGTGTTGATATTGCAATTTTTGCTGTTATCATACATGTTTTTGTCAGTGATCATATTGCAACATTTGTTGTTATTATCGCTTTTGTCTGGCACTCCTTATTACTGGTTCCCATATTGTATTCATTTCTATGCTTGATCCGCTCATGAGAATTTTGTGGCCTAGCATATGTGCTGATTCCTTAGGTTTACGAACAACGGCCAACGTTGTAATAAATATGGCGAGAAAGATGAGTACAATAGTCCGAATAATGTAAATAGTGTAGATAATACCTCATCTCAAAAATATAGACAGATACTGAAATAAAAACAGATAAAAAAAAGTATTATTAGTGATTTTACTATAAAAATGCATTTGTTATACTTTTTTAGTGTCGTATTTACTTTAACAATGTATTGTTGGTTATTTTACAATAAAAATATATCGTTGGTATTTCTTTTATTATATTGTTGGTGATTTTACTACAAAAATATATTGTAATTTTTTAGAAAAATGTACTGCTGGTATTTTTATTAGAAAAATTTATTTTTATAATTTCATAATGTTTCAATTTCACTTTAGGCGTCCACTATATCCCCATACCGAGGACCCTGACGGGTGCTACCACCCCGGGTCTGGGTGAACCCGGGAACAACAACAATTAAGAGGCGGTTCCACGCTCCTCAAAACATGCAATCTGCCGATCAGAAGGCTTGCTGCTGGATATAGTTTATCGTCATACCCTGGACGGATATTACTTTTTGAGATATTCGTGATATAGCGTGGTTAATCAATGGTAATATAAAAAAAAAATTGAAAAAAAAAATTCCGCTTCAGCACCTATTGAAAAAACTGTTATCAGTTAAGAATGAAGACATTTTTTGTAAAGATCAAAAGGTGATCTGAGAGCGCCACGATGAAAACAACTATTACGATTGCTTTCCGAATAATCGAAATCTACGAAGCAGATTTCAAAAAGGCCAAGAGTAGATACAGTGTGATGAAAACAACAAGTACGGATTTATTACGCTGAATAATTCACTGAACAATTGACTGAGTGTCCACTTTAAGCAATTTTGCCTTTGTAACACAAATACAGAAATAAATAAAAGGTATTAACATAAGATGCCATTTCGCATTGAGCATGAATAGAGTTGTTTACAAAACTTACATTTAAACAGGCTTCAATGATCTTACTTGAACAAAGAATATTTTCAATACATTTCTTTCCTTGATATTTTCTTCACAAATCATCGGCGCCTTCATGATGTTTTCGCCTTAGGCAGCAGTTTCATTCACTTGTCAAACCAACAGAAACCCCCATTACAAATTACACACAAGCATAAGCGCATATACACGTAATTACAATCGTATACACACGCGCAAACACAAAATTAAATCATTCGTGCAACTTGTCTGGCTGTCGGTTGGTAGGAACTGAGTTGGTTGACACTTATACAACGTAAGTGTCCCTGCTAGGCGCAGGTCAACTGCCAGCGTCATCAACGACGGGAGAGTCCACGATATATATATATATATATATATATATATATATATATATATATATATATATATATTAATTAATTTTATAATTATTTTATTTATGTTTTTTTTTTTAAATAAATACAACTGCGAAGGACACCGAATTATAAACCTTACTATTCTTTCTTATTATTTTAATATGTATATATATATATATATATATATATATATATATATAGGATATTACCAGAAAACATAAAAATCGCTACGCAATTGCAGTGGTGTATCGATGTGTATCGGTATGTATATATAGGCAGCATATCTTCATTCATGATTTAAATTCATTAAGGAAGGTGCCGTAGTTTTTTTAATTTCTTTTATTTTCTCAAGTACTTTCAATCTCATCCAGGATAATCTTCATGGTTGAAATTCTATGACAAAAAAATGAATGTAATTGATAGTTCTAAAAATTTAATTTAAATGTTAACTGTTGAAGCTATTATGGTTTTCATGTTTTATCTAAGGGAAGTAACTTTTATCTATATAATTGTAATTTTTTATAATTACTTTTTAATTTTTTAAAAACTATTAATAGTAATTATAAAAAATTACAATTATATATGTATCGCACGTGCTTTCACACGTTATATATATATGTGTGTGTGTGTGTGTGTGTGTGTGTGTGTGTGTTTTGTGTCTTTGTCGCTGTAGATAAACTTTATATCATTTTCTCAAGCTATAGACTTTTGTGCCAAAAGTATTTTATGAATTCCATTCTCGTCACTCGGCCTCTCAGCTATATTTGATCTGCAATATTAAATGATTAGATATGCATTAGATATGGTAGGCATTGTTTCTCTGATGTCGCTAAAGTTTATGTCAGATGACTGGTGTAAATTGTGAACTGCCTCAAAACAATCCCCGGAAAGACTTTAAAAGTTACTCTTTTGCTTCTTCATATTATAAGAGAATAAATTTGAAATACACGACTCGGATATCAGAGTCTGCATGTTTTCTCTATTTTTATGATGATGTGTTTCCCAAGAAACGATGTCATCAATGACATTGAATATGATAGAATAATTTCAGTTAAGATGAAAGCACATATTGGCCGTGTAAATATAAGTGTTTGCTATGGGCATGTCATTTTTCTGGTATCTGTTAGTTCAATGTTTGGCCCAGACAATGAGATTTAGGTAACGGGATCGAAAAGAGACGCCATCTCAATATGGAATTAAATTAGAAAAAATAACGGACAGGGGAATGCAAATTGGCAACCCTCTTGGATGGAATAAACGGCCCAATTCGAAATACCTAAATTTCCAAATATTACAGGCGCATGAATAAGGTCGTATAGTGCGATTTCCGAAACGTGGTGATAGCAACAAAATTCTACAAGAACATTACGTTGTAAATCAA